ACTTAAAAAAAAAAAAAAAAAAACAAAACTCAACCACCGGAACCTCCCCACGGTCACCACCGCCACTGCCCCTCTTTCTCTCCCTTTACTCTCTGCACATATACACGACACTCACTTACCCAGACGCACAACACACACATGAAACACGCACTGGGCGCACACACACTCTCACCACAGTCCACCAAGACTCAATTGTTTCACACACACGACAGATTCATTGTTCATTTTTGTCGGCTCCTAAAATGAAAAATATTTTTTGGTATTATATTGTTTGTTGTTTTAATGTACATGCAGTGATGATCATGTCAATGGACGCCGATTGTTCGAAGAAATGCCCCAAAGGAACGTAGTGTCCTCATACCCCAACGAGTTAACGAACCATAGCCACCAGGTATCTCTCTATATGTCTCTCTCCCTCTTTCAATTTCTCTGCTACGCCAATAGCCCACAGCACCACTACACCATCTTCAGTCCTTCATCCTCCACTTGAACCCCATCCCAACGAAAAATAATGCTTTCTGGTATTTTTTCCTTTACGTGCTACAAATTTTGGATATGTCTGGGAACTTATTCTCACTTTTTGGGATTCCTATTTGTTGTGGGTGAAATGAAGTTTTGGTACTTTTGCATTTAGTCTTTATTTTGAACTTAATTCAGAATTTCAAACCTTGGCATGTTGAAGATGAGGTGAAAAAATAACATAGTGTTACAAACCATACATGTTTCTTTGAACTTCGATGGTCATTTCTCTCATTTGTATAATGTAAAATTTCTAGTCGAAAAGGTGTCAAGGTAAATCAACCAGTTTTTTTTTTTTCTCTTTTCTGTACTAACAGTCTAACTCCCTTTTGAAAGTTATTCCCATTTCAATGCTGCTGTGTTAGGAAAGTGCTTGATAATAGCACTTCTCCTAAAGGAGTATCTGTGTTTTCTTAACTACTTTTTAATCTAAACTTCAAAAACTTAAACGAGATCCACCTTTGTTCAACGACATTATACTATTAACAAGTAGCAGACCTCCAATCACCAGAACTGAACAAATGGTGCTTGATTGGTTGGGAGGTTATGGTAGCATGTTAGTTTATTCAACTGCATCCATTTATGCACCTATGTTAAATATTTACTTTTGCTAAACATAATTTGTATTTTACCCATTTAATTTAGGGGAGTGAAATAATTCTAGCTGGAGACAAACGAATAAAATGGTTTATCATTTACAAATCTATACGAGAGATGGTGGTGAAAAATTAATTGGAAGTATTTGTATTTACAAATCTCTACAACAACCCAACCTCTCACTGTCCTTTCTCCTTTATCCTTTCTACCTCCAGTCTCTTCTCTCTCATCGTCTTGACAGCCGCTTGACAGCACAGCCACTCCGCAATCAACAACCAGGGTGCCATTGACGCGCCACTGTCAATAGTGTCCAGGCCATATGTATTCCCTCCTCCCTCTTTCTCTCTACTCCTTTTATTCCCCCTCTCTTTCCATCCTCTCTTTCAAACCCCTGTACCCCGTAGCCGCAACCACAGCCACAGCTACCCCACCATCCACGAGCATGACCGTCACCAACCTAGCCCTTTTTTTCATTGTAATTGATTTTGTTTTATTGGACTTCAGTTTTTGTAATTTCAGTATTTGTTAATAAGCTCAAAAAAATATGGTGGGTATTGTTCAATTTGTGTTTTCTCTCTCTCTCCCATTGTAGGTCGGTGGAGTAGTTGTCGAGGTGTCACCGAAGAACCCAAATCCATTCCAAAGTTCCATGACTCATAACCCCTCCAAAAAGTGGCAAACTTTCTCCACTTTAATCTTAATTTTTTGATTACAAGATCTTTGTTTCATGACTTTCATTGAGATTAGGTCTCCGTTAATTTTGTAGTTTTCTTGAATCACATGAATCGTTGCAGCAAACCATCACATAGAATAAAATAGAGGAAAGGGCAACAGGCTTGAAGGAGGACGTATATGAGCATATATTTGTGTATATTTGTTTTCTTTTGATTTGAAATTTTGTGATATGAACTGTGTATTGATTATTGTAGTAATGGATAGGAAGACTAGTGGTAAGGTTAATACAATGTCGTTGCATGTTTGTGGTTGTGAATGGTGTTAATTTGAGTGTTTGTTTTGCAATTTGATTGCTTTGATTGTGTAAGGGGTAGAACCCTCCACTCAGGATTTCGGCTTGACCTGGGTTAACCCACGCGGGCGACCCCCCAGTAGCCTTTACCTCTCTTCGCCAATAGGACCCTTTCCTAAGGCAATCCCACATCNAGCGCGAAATGGCAGCTTGTGTTGAAAATTCGAAAGAGAAGTGTCAAGAATTTGCGAAGGAGAAGTGTTTGCCATCGTTTAAAGACGCGAGAATCGCTTGGGATAGTTCGAGGGTGAATTGGAAGGAAGTTTACCGGTTGATTAAATGGGTATCTTTGCCAGAAAAGAGTGCAGGTTTTGAGTTATTGGGAGTAGAGGGGAATTGGGTTGAGTTTAAACGCATGATTGATTCGACAAATTACAGAGGAAGTGAGCTTTTGGATTCTAATTACATGGGTAGTGAAGATTTTGCAGTTGGAAGTAATCAAAAAAATTGACAATGGGGTGTCCAGTTCATTATATTTCGGGTATTGTGAGCAAATTTTTTTGGAATTTTTAGTATGGCATCACTGTTTAGGACTAGAAAGCTCTTTAAACAGTAAATTTTTTACTAATCTCTGAAATTTTCTTTTGTTCTGTTGAATCTAGGATCTAAATTAATACCTATGCGGCTGTATGTGTAGGTGGGGAGAATCTTATAATGTACTATTACACAGTCGAATGCTGTGACACCATGATGGACGATGCCTTGATTGTATCTCTTATTCAAAAACAACATTCTACACCATGCGTCTTGAATTGTGTTCTAGTATACTAATGTCACATGATATGTGGTCGTATGTATGACCTTTTAACCCATTATGAAGATGATAAATTACCATATTATCCATGTTAGAATTAGAATTAAGGGCGTTTTTGTCTTTTTCAATTTAATATCAGACATTAATCTCTTATCCACATTTGAAATTTTAGTATTAGGACAAGAGATCCTCTACACATTATTCATATCATACCTTGATCCAAACACGATTTAAAAAAAAAAAACAAAGGGATAAAATAGTAGACACTTAGCCACTGTTGGAATGAAATGGATTAAAATCAATTGTCCAATTTCATCCCTTATTGTACTCAAATCAAACGCCCCTTAAAGAATAATTATATTTTCTTTTTTAAGATATGTTCTGCTAGACTTCATAATCAGAAGCGATGATAGTATCGATTTCAATAGGATATCCAGGGCAGAGTCAAAAATTTTGTTTATGGTGGGCACGGTAATTACATACTCTATTTTTTTCCCACCTAACTAATTACACTATGTAATATATTTATATTTATTGTATCATATTTGATACATGAAGTACATTTAACATAAAAAAAAAAGGGCAAAAAATAATGTATATTATATAGAAAAATTTGGGAGCCGGTCCCCTTTTGTGGACTTATTTGGATTTAAGTTCACTTAAAAAACTTGTTTAAGAATAAATCTATTTTGATCTCTATTGTCCAAGATACCCTCAATAATAATGTTTAATTAAAACAAATTTAAAAACTAACAACTTTTAAATTTTAGGAGTTTTACTAGCATTAAAATTATTTCTTTATCATATCTCTCTATATCTGTATATAAATTAGGATTATTTTATTTCTCTCTCTCACACACACACGTATATGTATGAGATAAAGCAGTAACATTCAAAATTTTAAAAAAAAAATAGTAACATTTAAACAAAAAATAGTAACATAGAATATTAACATTTGTAACATGCTCAATAAAAAAATAATAACATTAAACAATAACATGTTTAACAAAAAAAAGATTATATGAAAAAAATTGTACCATGAAAAAAGGTAGTAACATGCGCAAAAAAAAAATAATAACATGATATTGCAGGAATTAAAAAAGTAATAACATGTTTCGGGCCATTTTGTCGAACATCTTTGGGGCATTGCGGAGATGTCTAAATCTACATCCGCGGTGGAGGCTTTTGCTTGGAATCCGCATTCTTTTTATTCGACTATTGATGCATGAACCTAATTGCTTCTCAAGCCAAAACTCTTATAATGTCAGTCGAGTACAGGCTCACTCCGGAGTACCCTTTGCCTGCGACTTATGAAGATTGCTGGGATGCTATTTAGTGGGTAGCTTCACACACTATTGACAGATATGATGATGGTGATAATAAAGAGCTCTGGTTGATCAACCATGGCGATTTTGAGGGGGTTTTCATTTGTGGGGATAGTGCTGGAGGTACTGTCCGTCATTGAGAGAGAGCGAGAGAGTGGTTCTTGGAATTTGAATTTTAAATTTATGTAAAAAATAGTTATTGACATATCTCCATTGATAATGAATTAAGGGATAACAATTCCCTAGTTAGAACGTTGCTTTGAAAGAAAGATAGTTTGGAGTTTTAAAAAAAATTATAGACTTAACTACTTATTAGTAAGATTAAAGAGCAATGCTATGTAACTCAAATCTGCAACCCAAATTTGCATCCCAATTGAAGGAGAATCATTGGATTAGTGGGTCTCATCAACTTTTTTAAATGGTACCCACTGATCTAATGGTCTCCCTTCATTTTGGGTTATAAATTTGAATTACATAGTATTTTCCAAGATTAAAATATGACTTATTCTTAAATAAGTTTGAGTGATAAACTAAACTTATTAAAAGTCCTCTAAATGGAACTCAACCTCCAATTTTCACTATTATATATGTATAAAAAATGAATAATTATTATCAATGTAAAAAAGTGAGGCTATTTGTCATTTTTGTAATTAAAAATTAATTAGTTATTCATTAACAATCTATTAAATTATTTAATAAGTGATGTTCGAAACATATTAGCATTGAAATATTAGCATACTAAAACTACTAAACGAAATTTAAGAGCTAAACAAAAAAAAATTGAAAATCAATTAACACGTAATAATCACTATAATCAAATAGAAATCAATACAATATCTCATGATTTTGCGTAGAAAAAATAAAAGTTAAATGAAAGTTAATTGCAAGAATTTTCGCTTGTAAAAATTTACAAATAATAAAATTAAGATCACATGTAGCAAACTTTAATACAATAAAAAAGACTAAATAATTGAAATAAGAAAATTATGGGGTGGGCACAAATAAAAAATATATGTATAATTTTTAGAATATATAAATATAAGTATACATATAATATTTTAAAAAAAATAAGATTGATCCTAAATTATCTAGTATAATCTGAAATATAATTGTCTATCATAATATTTTATTATCGATTTCTAATTATCTCATTTAATCAAAATTTTACTAATTTGAGTCACGCCGAAATGTCTTGAACCAGGACTAATCAAACTTTTGATGTAAAAATAAATTTTGAAATACTCGGAAAATAAAGAGTTTTTGTGGCCAGACCCATTATTGAAATGTAAAGGATTTCATATATATATATGTTAGAAGTGATATAAGTCCGATATTTATTAGACCTAAGTTCAGTGACTTTGCAATATTTTTGTAAAACTTTAAGAATAGTTGGAATTGTAACATGGACAAGTTATAAGTTTAGATACCTTAAATTCGAATTTTGACAATTTTTTAAAATTAGATTATGAGAGATTTATAAACAAAATTAATTAAAATAAAAAAAATATAAATTGACTCAAACACCCTTACGATTGTTGAATAAAAAAATAAAATAAAATCTTGCAACAGATTTAATAACTTAACTACGTGGTGGGTTAGTTGGTTTTGGTTCCCACAACCTGACCTAGACTACACACGTCACCAGCTCTCCCGAGTCCCGACCAGTAATTCATAGGATTGGATCTTGGTTATTGGTCATTCTTAGTCTAAGGGATCCACATACATGTGGTCAATTTCCGTACACAATGACGCAATAGCCTCCCACTCGTAATGACGTCACTCTAAAGGTCTTACTCTTCGCCAGCTGTCGCAGAACTATTGGACAAGCATAATACTTTATGTAGTAATGTTATACTAACTAAATTTTGGGATCAAATTTAAAGTCCAAATTTTAGTGACAAGTTTGACAATTGAAGATTGAAAAAGCAAGCAAGAAGTTATTTTTCATAGCATGAATAAAATTTTTCTAAATTTTTATGATTTGACACCTCTTTAAATTAGAAATTTAAATTTCAATGATACAAATATTTTATTATTGGTGGAAACGGAGGGTTTTAAAAAATATTTAAAATATTTCTATTAATTTGATTAGTAAAAAATAAAAGCATAATTGGGATATTTGTTTTATTGTATTTGGTACATTTTTCACAATAAACTAACATTTTTTTCACATAAAAGTGCAAAATAATCATTTTTCTTTTCAACTGATGTTTGTAATTAAGCCTATGTATTTTTTATGCAAATTTTTGTCTAATCATGTGGAGGATTATACTTAATCCTCCACGCTCCTAACATTATTCGTGGCACGTGAGAACATTATACATAAATAGAACAGCTGTTTTCTCCAACGATATTAATATTACAATGTGGGGTTGGAGTGATTACAATTATAAATCCCACCTTCTCTCTGTCNCATAAATAGAACAGCTGTTTTCTCCAACGATATTAATATTACAATGTGGGGTTGGAGTGATTACAATTATAAATCCCACCTTCTCTCTGTCTCTCAATTTAATTTCAGTTAGAACTTAGCTATCACAACGAACGGACCATATCATTGCTACCATTTTTCTACTTAATTCACCTAATTTGCAATTATTATTGAAATTTGGTCTCTTTTATCTTTTCTCCTTGTCCATAATTGCATATGGTACCACACGTTTCTCGATTACATGTCTTATTGAATTAGTGACTAGACAGCTTTGGCTGATTGGTCCACTTATAACGGTGCTTAACCACTGAAAAAGTAATACTTAGTTAATACAAGGGCTACGATTTGTTTAATTAGCTGGTCCCTACGTTGACAAATGAGGACATGCCTTTGCCTCCTTTTTTTTTTTTTTTGGTGGGGTAAATCTCCAATTAACATAATTTGGTGGGGCATGATTGTTTAACTTTTCTTTCCCACTTTTTCTCGGCTAATCATGCTTTGATTGTTATTATTTATTCCACCATAAACATATAAATAGGCGTATCATTCTGCAACATGCCAAAAATTATTTTGCTAATTAATGTGTCTAGCCTTTATTCTGTAGGTTGAGTGGACATCCTGAACCACCCTACCTACTATACCATAGTTCTTTTTATTTATTTATTTATTTATTATTTTACTTAAACGAAAATGGAAGACTTTTTTTTGGTTAAGTTGTAACTTTTTTTTGTTCAAACTATTATCTAAATAGATGAAGGTTGGAAACAAAAATAGGTAAANATTTTACTTAAACGAAAATGGAAGACTTTTTTTTGGTTAAGTTGTAACTTTTTTTGTTCAAACTATTATCTAAATAGATGAAGGTTGGAAACAAAAATAGGTAAAAATTAAGATTTTTTGCTTCTTTATTAAGAGATATTTGACTTTCCCATGTAGTAATATTCTTCATTCAATGAATTTCGAGTGTCCGTTTTTGTAGATTTTTCTTTGTCCTACTTCTAAGGATAGATAGTTTAGATTGAATATAATCCTCACGCATAAGCCATTTTAGGATTAAAAAAAAAAGCTTGTAAACAGTAATGCATAATAATAGAATTGGTTTGCAGCTCTTGCCCTCTCTTTCACTCTTCGTCTGGAAGCACTAAAAGCAAATGACTATTCTTGTTGAGTTTTTAACAAGCTACACTCTATTAAAATGGATTATATAGATCGGTTCTAAAATCAATCTCNCATGCCATTTTAGGATTAAAAAAAAAGCTTGTAAACAGTAATGCATAATAATAGAATTGGTTTGCAGCTCTTGCCCTCTCTTTCACTCTTCGTCTGGAAGCACTAAAAGCAAATGACTATTCTTGTTGAGTTTTTAACAAGCTACACTCTATTAAAATGGATTATATAGATCGGTTCTAAAATCAATCTCTTGCGAACTCATTTTATTGTAACTTTTCCGACAATTAATTGATCTGGCCCCAAAACTAAANCACTCTATTAAAATGGATTATATAGATCGGTTCTAAAATCAATCTCTTACGAACTCATTTTATTGTAACTTTTCCGACAATTAATTGATCTGGCCCCAAAACTAAAATTTTCTGACATTTTTGTAAGCAAAAGTCGGACTGCAATGACAATAGGAACTATGTTCTTTTACTTATGGAAATTTTGAATTCCGACCCAAAAAGAAAGTTCATGAGTTTACTAAGAAACATTTTAATCATTACCATAATGACTTACCAAAGATGATGGAAAGAAACAAAAACACACGCTTTATTTTTTACCAGCGGAAAAGTGAAGTAAAATTATAGTTTCTATGAAGAACTAAACAACACTGGTTAGAACTGTCACAAGTACCAGTGTATTTACTTTCTTCAGAGAATTGTACATCGCACCGGGTGCGACTCGGACCGAGTCACTTGGGTGGAGGTGGTAGAGTCTGTTCGAGGGATGGGTCACTCGAGCAAGTGGGAGAGGCTCTTCCGCAGGTGAGAAAGCTGTAACAGCTGTGAATGTTACAACTTGGTATAGATCAAAATGGCATTATACACACCTGTTTGATCGCCTCAACAGATGTATTATAATACATGACCAAAAGCCACAAGCATGGNTAGATCAAAATGGCATTATACACACCTGTTTGATTGCCTCAACAGATGTATTATAATACATGACCAAAAGCCACAAGCATGGGCTTGGCTTTGAGGTTTTGGTGGTGGTGGTGGTGTNTGTTGCTCTTCCCGAATATGCCATATGGGCAACATAACTGAGGACCTAACACCACCTGCTAGCCAGATAGCTCTCGTAACCTTATATTCAGCTAACTATGTTCACCGTCCAAGGCAGACATTTTTACATCAAAGGCTAAAAGAAGAAACTCAAGAAGCCTACTATGGTACACCAATTAATCGAAATAGTGCACTAGGCCCGAGAAACTTTTTTGCTTCCAGATTCGGAAGCAGCTCGAATCTAATTCTGCAGATCGTCCTCCAATGAGAGTTCATGTGCAGTCAGCAGCTTCAATTTCTGCATCTCAATATCAATTAGACATCATTAGAAAGGGAAATCATCGTTCATTTCTAATGGCCTAAAACAAGAAAGACATTATATGTAAGTTTGTAGAACATCACATATTCACCAATAATATCATATACTACAATAAATCATCATGCCTCGCTTCTGGGTAAGCTTTCAAGTCTCATCATAGCCAGTGCTGAGCCTATATAAAACATTAGGAACTATTATCCGTTGCTACTATAACAAGTTTTTTTTTGGCTCAAACTAGCACAACAAAAGTTAGTCCTATAATTTTTATCAACCTCAGGAACTTGAGCTATTACGGACAAAAAATTCCCCCCTAAAAATACAGTAAAATGGGGGAAAACAATACAGGAGAAGAAAAATAAATATTACAAAAGCAAAAATCTCTTACATCATTTATCTATTGAGGAAATGCATGCAGCATTAGTCACCTGGTTTTTCTCCAATAGCTTGAGTTCCATTCAAAGCCATCCACACAATGAGGGGAGAGAGAGAGAGAGAGAGGTCACATGCAGTTATGAATTGCGGAGGATCATCAAGACTAAATGAGGCTAGGATAATTTCTCTCTTCAGCTTCGTTGTTAACTTGTGACAAATCTGCAGCTAAAAAGTAATAGCCATTTCATTACAAACCACTATTTGCCCAGAAATCAAATGCTACACCTTTCTCTTCAAAAAGAATTAAATAAACAAACAGTTTATACCTCAGATCTAGTTGCCCCACCAAACGATAAACACAAAAATTCGTTGACATTTTTTTGAAATCATTCAATGCGTGACTCAGAATGGAATCACTGAAAAAGGGATTAATAAAGGGTAAGATCTACATGTAAACTGTAACTAATGGTTGTATGAGAAAGGTTTAGCAATAGCTGAAGGGATGCAAAGAAAAGACGACTCTCAGTGGTTTCATTTGGAACTTCCTATGTGTGTGTATTGTTCCACTCAGAAAACAGAAACGAGGCCTCACAAAAAATACAAAGAAGGATAGAAACAAACATATTAAGAGAACATATGAGAGGTTAGACTTGATGAGACATTACAAAGAAGTTGAAATTTATGGCTGATCTTCCTAAAGCATGAAAATACCCACTTAAAAAACCACTCGAATCAACAATCAAAAAAAAGCCACGAGAATACCTGGAATACCCATCATCCGAGTTCTGAGGGCGAGCCCATGTTGAAGTCCATCTTGATCTCATCAAGTAAGCAGCTGGAGCTTGACTTGTTTGCACTGACCCACTCAGGGAGGTCCCATGGAAAGTTGGACTTGGATTATGCATGTATGGGTATTCGTTCTTGGGTAGTTCACCTTTGTTAAGTTTTTCAATAAGCTCCTCAAAGATGAGACAAGCTTTGGTCAAGCATTCTCACTCCTCCAGTAGGGCAGTAAGTGAAAGGCCAAAAGATCAGATGATTACAATTTTAGGTATCAGGATTGTTAGGAAATTGATTGTAATTAACAAATTCCATAAGGTCACTTGTACCTATATCTCAACTAAATCCATGGTCAAGACAATTATGAAAATTGGAGACCAAAACAAAATGTGATGAAGAAACTCGAGCAATATTGCCATATGTGAAAACTTCTTGGTATCTATCAAGCTTAGGCAAGGTAACAGAACTAAATACTTAGTTGTCTTAGATTGGTTTAACTTAGGTGGTTAAAATAAACTTAGATGTTTAGATTGAAAATTCGTGGCATGACTCTCATATTAATATGGAAAACGTTCTTACAACTTTGAAGGTTGGTTTTGAAACAATATAAAAGTCAGGCATGTTGAGTATTGCCCCTGGGTCAACAAACCAGTGAACATTGACGCTCTAGTGGTTGAGGAAAATAAAATAGACTTAAAATTTCAAAACAATGGTCAGCACTTGATGACCACTCGAGTGATCCACTGTTCATGCTGAGAGCAGTTCTTTTCCAGTAACGCTGTTTTCTGAGAGCCCGAACAGGCAATCGGAAAACTGTATTAATTGCTCCCCTGCCTCCCCAATTAACCTCATTTTCCTTACCCATAAATATGCGACGCTATTATTCGACCAAATAGAATCTCTAGGCTATCAAAGAAACTAGAAAAAGAGAAAAAATACCTGCACAAAAACCCTAGCCTCCCATAACAAAACCACAATCTCTATTCGATCAATCTAGACCTTTTCAATGAAACCATTTTAGACCTTGAGAGATCTCTTGTAGAACACCCAAAACCTATAGAGCTAATGATCTAAGCATGATTTCAAGGATCAACGGAAGATTCCAAAAGAAGAAGATTAGAATTCCAAGGATGATCATGGAACTTGAATCGTTGCCTATTGAAGTTACTTGTTTAGAGTTTGCAGTTGATTCAGAAGTGAAGATGTCTAACCATGGTATTGATTGAAGTATAAAACATTAATCCATGTAATCTAACTTTGAGGTTAGTGGTTTAGGTTAGGTGGATTACGATCCCATGGTTTTTCCCGTTAGAGCTTCCACGTAAAATTGATAGTGTTGTGATTGTGATTGTCTCTTGCAAGTCTTTTACATACTTGCAATTTTACATTCTTCATATGCTTAACTGTTTAATTTCTGGTGAATCATATTGTGGGTGTTGGCCGATAAAATTAGACTTTCAATTGGATTGAAGGGTATTTGGAATTTGGGGATTTTTTGTGAATTTCAAAATTGGTGGATTGGGTTAATTGAAGGGGGTTTTCACAACAGTGGCTCTTGTTTTGCACGCCTACAGAGAGACTAAAAGTACCAACGCTCAATCAAAAGAAAGAGCATTCAACTATATGCTTGTGTCACTTATAGTCATCTCTCCCTCGCCGCAGGTCAGCACCTCCAAAAGAAACAGAGGACTTAATTGTCAAATCAATTGGTAATTAGTTGAATTAGGTTTTAACTGAGTATTGAATTCCGTCTTTGAGTGGTAAGACCTAGTCACCCCTCTCTAAGTTAAATAAATCTTAGCTCAGCATTTCGGGGTCGATCACGTTCGCACTCTGCAGGATTCTAAATATATCTAGTCCTACTGCATGAAGCATTATTATAACTACAGGGGTCATTGTTTTTTTGTTCAGTAACTAAAGGGGTCATTGACTAGATAATCTAAGTGATGAACAAGATAATTTTAGACCTCTACTCTGAGATAATATTGCATTTTCATCTCATTGACATCATACATATGTATAAAATTATGTTATGATAAATAAGTGGCACCAAGAATGGATTTCACATTCTGTATAAATAGACTCTAGACTCTAGACGTCACTTGGTGGGTGAAAAAATAAACACACTTTTCCTTGAATGGGTGTCATATTTGAACAGTAATAATAATAATTTGTAAACCTCAAAAGAAGGGCTGAAGTTCAATGTAAAAGTGACAAAAGTACCTACCTCCATCAACTTTGCAACTTTGTCATCCTTAAACTTCTTGGGGTGAACTGCAGAATAAATCATCAACAAGCGCAATTTATTTTCACGTGTTACATCCTGCATACCAGAGATTATTCTATTCACAGAATAAATGTTGACAAGATTTATTGACATCCATTTTCAGTAACTTGTATTTCCCACCTGTTTTATTCTCAAAAAAATGATTACTTCCTTAGCTCCTGCATCCCCATAGACAAGGTCCTGCTCTAGTTTCCCAAGTTCATTCAGCTCCAACTCCCTAACAATTTTGTTAATTTTTGCAGCAACCAGCGCAAATAAATCATGATTAGCTAGAGTATGCATTTCCTGGGAAAATCTTCCAGTTAATGCATATGTTTTTCCAAATATTACATAATACATACTGACAGTCCATCAATGGTGTACTGAATCAAACAAATGATAAAAGAGAAGCCACCCAACATTGAGCCTCATGATCATGAAGAGTGAAGACAAAAGAAGTAGAGTCTATACTTGTATGAACTTGTTGCCACCTTGTACAGATTTTAAGGTGGTTGTTTGTGACAAAAAAAAACCACAACAACAGGAAGACACATCGATTGCGACAAAGTATCTGGGGATACAACCTAAAATAAAATGTTGAATATGACAAGAGATATAGGTCATATCGCAGCGTGGTGGAACTGTATCGGACGATTCAGTGACAATAACTCCACGACTCGAGATTAACTCGGATGACTCGGCCGAGTCGTCCGAATCTGGAAGTTTATATATATCATGTATCGATATCGTCTCGGAAGGTCCAACTCGGCTAACTCATATTAGTATTGGTCGATACTTTGAACCATAGTAACAACAAAAAAAAAAACACAATAACAGAAATAGATGAATTTGCAAGATACTTATAGGGTTAACACCCATCAAATATTCAAATCTAAGGAAAAATTTCAACTCGAACAGTAAAAATAGTCTTTGTTTACTGTATAGAAGGCTTGGAATACAAGAATCAAAAAGCTTTTAAATAGAGCAATACTATTAAAACCTAATTTATTGACCTAATTCACTAATGTCATTGGATTGATCGTAGGCCCTATCAAATATTGAAACTTGGTGTTAATCCAGCACTTACAATAAATCCACATCATTAGGTCAGCAGAATAAGGGTCCAGAAACAAATAGGAGCTTATGCACGAGAAAAGATATAAGAAACTAATGCATCAGTAAATCAAGATGTAACAAACTTTGAGAACAGAATGACAGAAAGATGTCTCAGGACTTAATTATTTATGTATATGTCTGTATAATTTCTTAATTTGTTGTACTACGTACATTGAATGCTTGAGATTCTCTGCGAGTCAAATAACTGGTTATATCATGCTTGACTTAATTAATTAGAATTTTTAATAAAATAGTTGATTTATTATTTGTAATAAAACATGGTTTACCTGTTCAAAAATTTGATTTATCGTAGAGTCCAGACACAGTGAATTGTGATCTACAAGTAAATTCTCATATTTATTAAGAAAATTTTATTAACTATACCTTTGATGTTTTCCATATTATCACCGTTAAATATTTCGATTAGGATCACTCGTCCGCTGATTCTCAATTGAGTTAAAAAATTAGATCTTTAATAATTACTGTGTGCAATTAAAAGGGTATCCCCAATACTTTAGTATTTCAAATTATTATTTTACTCAATCAATTTCCGTTCTTTTGAACAAACAAATATCTACAACAATTTTTCAAAGCAATTTTCTTTTATTTTTCTTTGCGTTCGAAGTTTTCCCAATTACATGTAGTTCAATCTCGGACTTTCAAGTATTATTTTAATTTGCGACAAGCTGCACTTGAGTGATCAATTCAATTTTAAAGTTTTAGCAACCTACACAACAGAGTCTGACAAGTCTAAAGGGTAAAAATTTCAAGTCAATCAAGAATAACGTTTCAACAAGATAAAGAATGATCACAAGCAAATAATAATAGGTCGCCTAAAATATAAGCAACTTTCCATTCTATATGCATATGTTTAGAAAATTTGATAAAAAAAAAAATGTAACCAACTATTGATAAGCAAAATAGTAATCAATACCCAATCATGGCCAACAAAAAATTTTCAGCATCACGTTTGGAATTTTGTCGACAGTACCAACTCTACTTCAGACTCTTTTGGTGACTGTACATCCAATTTAGTTAGCCTAACAACACATTACGAAGATTTTTCCTTATTAACTCCGAACAGTCAAGCAATTCCTTCTTTTTTGTGATACATGAAAAATGATAGGGACAACAGGTATGGCTCGGTTTGGTAAACGACAATAATCATCCCATATAATATGATGCTTTGGATGGCAACTCTCATCAGTCAACAGCAACAAGGCAACTTGAAATGTATTTTCTCAATGTGAGTACTAGCAATACTAGTGATAACCCAACAAGAAGAGATCGACATATTTGAGAATCCATTCAGTTTTCTCTCGAGAGTAAGTTGACAAAGATGTAAATCATCAAGGATTGGCTAGTTTCCTAGGTAAACGGACGCATGATCTGCAACAGCAAAGGAATTGAGTGAAAAGCCCCAGACTCCACTACATGGGAATCAACAGAGAGAGAAATTAGAATAAAAGCCACAAGGATATGGAAAAATCACAACACAATTTTATAGGAACAATTTCCAAATTACAGGTCCAAGATCACCAGGATAGTATGTGTTGCCAAATTAAATTTCTTGCATTGAAATGGACATTAGGGATGAGAATGACGTTGAGAGAGGGGCATAAATGCAAAAGAACACAAAGGTAAAGACACACGCTTCTGACCATCTTGGCTGGGTGACCAAAACTACTTGATGCTTATATATTTATAAGCACACGAAAAAAGCTGATAATCTCATTTACCGGTGAATAACGCACAAACTTAAACATATAAACATCAGTCCTCACTAGTCCATTTTGGTCAGCAAATCTGAACATGACACAGTAGTTGAAGCCTGAAATTGCTTATGCCTGACAGCTTATATTTGCAATGATTTGTTCCCAAAGGTGCTTAACAAAGAGTTCAATTAGCAAACCCCCTAGTTAGTGTTGATATTGGCTCTGAATTAACACCAACCCCATTGACAACTTGGTTGACAGCACGGAGACCAGAGTCATAGGTCATTTACAGATATTATGAGAAACACCTTTTTCATTGGAAAAAGAGGGAACATGCCAGGTAAGATATTCAAACTGATAAGTGAAGGAAAGGTAGTAAGACTTCATAATACAAATCACAGTGTTAGTACTAATGTCAGATACCTTCCAAGATGATTTTATGTCCCCTGTTTTGGCTGCGCAAAGCATCTCATATAATAATCCTGAAAATTTTAAAAGAAAATATGCAACGATATCCAATTAGCGAATCACCCAAATGAAAGATTAATAAAAAATTTTGATGGTGTGAAATATTTAAAGACATAAGTGGGAGATCAGCTTTCTAAGGAGGCTATGTCCCATCCTGTACTCTAACTAATAAATCAATTTTTTTCTCACTGCAGATTTTGAGAATTCCGGCCATAAAGTTAAGTCGCTCCAATTATTAGTATTCCCACACAGCAGGGACAGAGCTACCTTATGAGGTTGGGGGGAACTTGCCCCCCTAATGTGTTATTGCGGCTACTGAACATTCCAACTTAGAACTTAAAAGATATGGACAAAAATGTCATAGTAACGGGAGAACGTGATCTAGTTTAACAATATATACAAAAACATACAAGAACATTCGAGATTATCTCCAATTCCTCTATATTTCACTATGTGCCACTTAGAGCCAATGACAACAAACGATCAAGGTTCGTCTACGGTCCACTACAGGTGAATTAAGAAAACCTCGACAAATATGACTGTAACAGCAGTTCAAAGATAGTTAATAAACAAAAGAAATACACATCCGAAGTAGAGAGAGAGAGGTAGAAAGCGAGTTTTGGACCTTTCGAGAAAATACAGAGAGAGAGAGAGTTTTGGACTCACTTTCACGGCTAATTTGTCTGAAGTTCTTGAACTCGATATCCTGCGACGACGTATCAGAATCGGACATCGACATGGTGAATTCAAACCTCCGACCACTCTCTATATCCTACTTTACCGAATTGATCGATCACAGAACTTACCGATCAACGTCCTCCAGACTCTACACAGAGAGAGAGAGAGAGAGAGAGAGAGAGAGAGAGAGAGAGTGGGGTGTGGTAATTATTTTGGGATGTCGTGCTGACTGTTAAAGCCCAATGGTTAGACCGGTTGAGCGGGCCTGAAGCCTCACAGAAAGTTATTGAACGATTGTATCCGACGTTTTTATTTTTTTTGAGAAAAAATATAAAAAAATTAATTATTTAGAGGATTTTCTCCACAAATATATAGTGCAAAAGTCTACACGCGTATAAGGTGGTGTGTCACTTGATCGGGCCTTGTGTTGACTTCAGAAGCCCAAAATCCACGATAGGTCTGGTTCGTCATTGCCTTTGATAAACTACTGGGTAGGTTTAAGCACTACTTGCCGAATTAATGGGCTATCTGAGGTCCTACCATGTTGTGGACCGAGGAAACCATTTGGCTACAAGCAGCCCATCGAGCCACAGGCTTGATGCTAACCCATAGGCCCTAGGCTTACCATTGGCAGAGACCTTCAGACGATGCTCCAAAGTCCAAAACCATGAACAATATGTAAATCCGTGTGGTAACCAATACGTCTGGGAAAAATTACACGGTGGTGATAGAATTAGAAAGAATTGATATCACAAAGGATGCTTATTACTATGAGTGCTACCTAGTCCTAGACAAATCTGCTGGAACCTAAGTGTTTTTGGTTTAGGCATTAAGAGGAAATTTTGTACAAAATAATCTCTAGGCCCACCTTATCTCATTTCCTCTCTTTTTTTTGTACACAATTTAGGCCCAATATTATTAACTAAAAATAACCCGAGGATGAATAATATTTTTAAACCCACATATAGCATCTTAAATAAACTCACCTATTTGGTGAATTTAAATAGTTTGATTGGGGATATATTTTGACAAAAAATATTTCTATTCACAAGAATCTCTAAGATATAATTATCTCGAATGTTTTTTAATAATTTAATGTTTTTACCATCATTCAATACTATATCTAAACAAAGTATTGAATGGGATAAATATGAGAAATATTACTTCTTAATTCTTGAACCAAGCGTGGGATGAAAATGTATTATCAATATAATTAGTCCGAAGCTCAGACGGATGAATATAAAATGGATGAGTTTGTCTAATCCGATGCTATCTAATGACTAAACCAAACACATCCTAAAGGGTTGTATGGTATCATCCAAGTGAAGACCCTCAGCCACAAATCGGTGATTATTAAAGAGAGTGAACGCTATTTGATGTTATCAGAATGAAGGAAAATATGAGCTCTACCTTTCTTATCCCTAAGTTGTTCCATCAAATCAACTATATTCCAATTTTTTCTGATTTTTTAATAATCCCCAATTGGGCCAATTCCGTGATATTGAGTTACCTTCTTTGCATCGTACGGCGGTGGCAGATAAGGCAACAACAAACGATAACAGCATGGAAACGCAATGAACAAAAACGTAGAAACACCAAGTTAACACACTGACCACAAGTGAGTGAGATGAATATTCCCTTTTAGTTTGGTTTAGTACATTGAAAATACTAAGCTGGTCCCCTCTATATAATTTCGTATATTTTTAATATAATTCATAATAATATTGCAAATATATAATTTCTCAACTATTTTTTGACGTCCTACTTCAAAAATTCTTGTCTCCACCAATGTTGTCCATGCAAATAGAATTAATCATTTCGCATGTTAATCTTGTTGACTTATATTCAATTCAACGCAACTCAATTTAACTAGGTGTTGCGGACCTATATTTATGTGCCATGAATAACTTGCTCTCGTAGCCAACATTGTTAATGAAGTTCAAAAATTCAGAGTATACGAGGTAACGATCACTCGGCGACAAGAAAATCGGAAACAACTAGTTTAGCCAAACACGCTAATTTCATAAATAATGCGATTAAATGATTGAAGCAGGCACCGGAGTTTCTAATGCTGCTCTTTTGTTTGTAATATTCAAACATAAATAAATCTCACACACAAAAAAAAAATCCCTGGACCCCAAAGAGGTGCACTGCGGCTGCACCCTCATGTTGGACTCTCAGCCACAAAGAAGGCAGTTGGCCAGTGTCCATAAGAAAGCAGACAAAAAAAACAGATAATGATCAACAATTATTATATTTTTTAGGACAAGAAAGTTGAAAAGCTGCAGAAATATTCAGAAGAAGACCATCATATCCAGTACCCACATTATAAGATTCCATTGAAAACTCTGTTTTATTCCAAAAAAGAATTAGAATCCAACTTCAAAAAACAAATTAAAAGTCCAACCCACGCGACCAATAAAGTTATAAAGACAACTCAAGGGGTTAGCTCAAGTGATAGCCAGTCACTTGATGAATGTCTTAAATTGACATTAATTAAGGGTTCAATATTCTATAAGGTGAAAATATTTTTCAGGGCCATCTCTCTTAGATTTAATCCTTGCGCATGGAAATAAAATTTTACACTCAAGTCCAAGACTCCAAGTTATCCCTTAAATTTAACCCTTACGCGTGAAAATAAAAATTTTACGTAAAAGTCCAAGTTAACTATCGGTCTAGGTTCAATTGAGCTCAATTTGTGGGAGTTCTAGGGTTATAAAAATAAAATAAAAAAGTTAAAAGACAAAACGGCAATTCCTNTGAGAGTTCTAGGGTTATAAAAATAAAATAAAAAAGTTAAAAGACAAAACGGCAATTCCTTTTTTCTTTAAAACCTTGTATCCGAACATACTAATCAACACCCATCTAACATGATCATGATAATATTCAAAAAAAAAAAAATACTACACATTGACCATAAGGGTGTTGAAGGAGGCTTTATCAAATTATGGTTCCTTTATAACTTTAGTCCATCTTCTATACCATGATTTCTGAATTTTTATTTTTTTTAATCTATTGTTATCTATATCAAAGCAGGGTTGATCAATTCCACATACTTGTAATGGTTTTTATCGAAAAGTGTAAGCCCTCGTAAATTACAAATCACAATAGAATTAAAAAAAAGTCATAAAAGTACCATAATTTGATAAGTTGTTATACAGGTGACGGCGCTAAAGGTTTCTCATTGCTATCATGGCCATTGCTAGTGTTGTTGTAGTACCTGCAAAGCACCTTGCACTTGACAACATTGTCATAGACATAGAACCCAGGTGCCACCATGATCCGAACCAGGGTAGGAACCAATTTCCGAGCCTTGTCACCACCCATGTCCTCCATGTAAACCGAGTCAAAACTCACTCCCTTGTCAACTCGGAAGATGGGTAAACTTGCGTGCACCGAGTTAGCCAGAAGGTGCACCAACCACACGTTCTTGGACGCACAAAAGAAGGCTTGTAACAGTGGCTCGGGCCACGCTCGGTTCCAACCAAGCATAGCCACGATCTCATTCATCTTCCTGTCGCAAAACCTGCTGAACTCTTCACTGAAATGCTTAGTCCCTTTGTTCAAAACCTCTTCCCATGTCAACCCTTGTAAACGGTTGAATGACGCAAAATTGACTTCACAACGATCGATGGGGTTCAAGATTTGGTTTGGAGAACTCTTTTGAAATCCGACTGATTCGAAGTCTTCGTAGAAAGCTTTGTTTAGCAGAGCTTCAAGGAAGAAAAGAATGCTTCGTGGGTTTTTGGAGAGAGAAATTTTGATGTCATAAGGCTGAAGAACTGAGGAGATCCGATCATGAACTTTGCCACCCATTTGTCGTAGTTGAATCGTTAATGAACGACTCAGAAGCCTGACAGAAGAACGAGCCTCAGAAACTGAAACCAGGAAATGTTCAATCACTTTGTCTTCTTCACCTACTGCTATACTGTGATTGTTGATATAGGTTTTATTGATTTGGTGTAGTGAATTTGAATTACCACTACACACTTCGAGACCAGATTTCAAGTTGTGACAGTAAATTTCAAGCTTGTTTAGCTTCTTTTCAAGCTCTGACATGGAGTATTTTAGCCTTGAAGCTTCAAGAATAGCTTCATCACGCTTCCTCGTAGCTTGTTTGAGTTTATGTGAAAGCTCCGTCACTGCAAGCTTCCACTGGTCCTCCAATGGCGTCGTGTTTGACCCATCCGATGACCTCGGGCTTTTCTTCACCAAAGAAGAGAAAATCGACTTGAATATACCATTTGGGCTCACCGTTGATGATCTGCTAACAGCATTGTTGTCCAGAGGAACCACTGAGATCTTCTCCCGATTGCTCGGCCGGCACTTGTTGCATGAGATCCCGCTGTCGTCTCCGGCGCCATCATCAGATTCCGGCCTCTTTCTCGTCGATCCTTTGCCTGATCTGCTGTCAGAAGAATGTTGATGGAGTGGTGTTGGGTGGTGCTTATAATCGACCTCTCTTTTGTCCGTGCAGTCAATTGGTGTGGTTGCTCTGAAACTTGTACGCCCTTGAGAGTACTCTTCTTCTTCATTACCTTCTTGAATCTGCAAATTCCAATCCACAGAAAATACAATCACACAACATGAAAAACAAACTAAATATTCAAACTCATACATAAATGTGCGAATACATGTATAGATGATACTCATACAAGTACATGTGTATGTATAGATTGTGTTGCTTACAGGGGTGAAGTGGGGAGGATGGTGAGGAGAGAGAGAAGGTTTGGAGGAAGAAGAAGAAGAGGGGGCCATGGAAATGGAATGCATTAGCTGTTATTACGGATTGTTTGCAAGTGTTTGTTCTTGTTTTTTATATCTTTACTGGGGTAACCCAATGTCTGCGGCAATGGAAATGATTTCGAGGGAGGTTGATTACTCTTAAATGAGTCTATTTTTAATAAATTTATTAAAATTTATTTTATTCTATATTATAGATTATAAGCTATAGATATGTATGTTCATTGTCTGTTCGTTATCTATCATTTTCATTTAAGCTTGGATTTTCGTCCGTTTGTAATCATGGTTATCACAGAATTGCAGTTCTGAAGCAATATCTCTATCCTCATCTTCAGTTACCAAGATTAGTGGAATCACATTTGCGGGTCAAAGTTAATCGATGGAAATTTCAACCACCAGTTTTTTTATTTTATTTTATTTTTAATGCTCAAAAATATCCGGTCAATTTAAACATATTTCATTAATTTTTTTTTCAATTCGGTCAAAAACAGATTATTCACGCTAAATCTAAGATTTTCATGAGTGATAAATCTTTCATGGCCTCAAAATAATACATGAGTTTACAACTCGTTCTTGTTATTATTTAAGCTACCACTTTAACGTCCGGACTAATTTTTCCATCCAAATTTTCCTTATTACACGTCCACTTAACTTTACTTAATAATAATCTTTTTTATCACGATGGATGAAAGAATCTTCAATTCTTATTTTTTTTTAAATTCAAATTTAAATTAAAAAACTTTTTCCAATCTTATTATCGAACTCATACCAAATTAAAGGAGACTCAAATCTTCATTCAAATCACTAATGTTAAAATCTTATTCTCTTTTGAAAATTCATCAATCGTCATGTTTCACACTCTTTTTAAATTTAAATTTTTTCTTCTTTAAATTTGAGTTAAAGTTGAAGACGTTGGATAGAGGTTTTGTTTGAATTAATGGGTAACCAAATATTAGTGGAATTAATCCATGTTTCCCTATGGAGTATGTCTCAAGTTGGAAGTTAAATGAGTAATGGCTTCTTTTGAAGTCGTTGTTTTTGGTAGAATTCAAAGGAAGGAATAATTTAGTGCACTTGGTGGACATTGTCGTATTAAATGGGACTTTCAATTATAGGAATTTTATTGCGTATAGACCACCGAACAAGTCTTTTGAAAGCATCCTTCCAACAAGTTCAAGCTGTAATAATTATAGGTTATAAATCTTACCACTATTGAATTTAGATTGTTTTCCACTCTATTAAAAGTTTAATTAGCACTTGCCAGATATGGTAATCAAATTGACAGATAATTTGGAGTGGGCAATAATTTATTTATTTTTTATTTAACGGTTAAGGGTAGTCGGGTAAATTTACGCGCATCTTGACTAATTATCTCCTCAGTCCGATCAAATGTATAACATTCACGCCGGGACTAGNAGTTAAGGGTAGTCGGGCAAATTTACGCGCATCCTGACTAATTCTCTCCTCAGTCCGATCAAATGTATAACATTCACGCCGGGACTAGAATATTTCTGAGGAATAAATTCTTCATTGCTTGACCTCAAGGGATTGGTAAGATTTAAATTCAAGATATCTAATAATTTTATATTTGTTATAGATAGATGTTGAGCAATACTATCGAGATTGAATTAATTTGGGGTCACAATTTGAAGATTTGGTCTTCAACATTAGATAGAATGCAGTATCAAAACATTTTTGGAAAGTCAGTTTAGATAATTAAAAAAAAAAACACTTACATGCATCACAATTTTTGATGTAGTCTGAGCTTCCAACGAATCTTTAGGGATGATCCAGTTGTTAAGCATGTATTCTTGTAAATAAGAGGTTTCAGGTTCGATACTCTCCACAACTCCTAGTAGCCAAACACACTTATTTCTAAGGGGGCATGTGCTTAAACTAACTTGAGGGATTACTTAGTATGAACCTGAATACCTTGTAACAAAAAACACTCTACTTTCCACGTATAATGGTTTGTAATGGTAGCGACAGATAACATGTTGATAGTGATAACAACAACGTCAAATTGTAGTGATGGGATAGCACAGTGATGGCATTGGTGGTTATAATGGTAATGACGGTAGCTACAACAGTGGATTATTCATTATTGTGCATGGTGGTGGTGGTGGTGGTGGTGGTGGGTGGTAGCGGAGGTAGTGTTGGGATGGTAGTGGTGGTAACAAAGTCAAAAATTATCAGTGTCTTCTCAAAGTAGAAGTTTTTTTTCCCCTCTTCCTTCTAATTAAAAACTTATTTAAATGCTAAAACCACTTTTANGGTTAAGGGTAGTCGGGTAAATTTACGCGCATCTTGACTAATTATCTCCTCAGTCCGATCAAATGTATAACATTCACGCCGGGACTAGAATATTTATGAGGAATAAATTTTTCATTGCTTGACCTCAAGGGATTGGTAAGATTTACATTCAAGATATCTAATAATTTTATATTTGTTATAGATAGATGTTGAGCAATACTATCNATTTTTAATGCTCAAAAATATCCGGTCAATTTAAACATATTTCAATTAATTTTTTTTTCAATTCGGTTAAAAACAGATTATTCACGCTAAAACTAAGATTTTCATAAGTGATAAATCTTTCATGGCCTCAAAATAATACATGAGTTTATAGCTCGTTCTTGTTATTATTTAAGCTACCACTTTAACGTCCGGTCCAATTTTTCCATCCAAATTTTCCTTATTACACGTCCACTTAACTTTACTTAATAATAATCTTTTTTATCACGATGGATGAAAGAATCTTCAATTCTTATTTTTTTTTAAATTCAAATTTAAATTAAAAAACTTTTTCCAATCTTATTATCGAACTCATACCAAATTAAAGGAGACTCAAATCTTCATTCAAATCACTAATGTTAAAATCTTATTCTCTTTTGAAAATTCATCAATCGTCATGTTTCACACTCTTTTTAAATTTAAATTTTTTCTTCTTTAAATTTGAGTTAAAGTTGAAGACGTTGGATAGAGGTTTTGTTTGAATTAATGGGTAACCAAATATTAGTGGAATTAATCCATGTTTCCCTATGGAGTATGTCTCAAGTTGGAAGTTAAATGAGTAATGGCTTCTTTTGAAGTCGTTGTTTTTGGTAGAATTCAAAGGAAGGAATAATTTAGTGCACTTGGTGGACATTGTCGTATTAAATGGGACTTTCAATTATAGGAATTTTATTGCGTATAGACCACCGAACAAGTCTTTTGAAAGCATCCTTCCAACAAGTTCAAGCTGTAATAATTATAGGTTATAAATCTTACCACTATTGAATTTAGATTGTTTTCCACTCTATTAAAAGTTTAATTAGCACTTGCCAGATATGGTAATCAAATTGACAGATAATTTGGAGTGGGCAATAATTTATTTATTTTTTATTTAACGGTTAAGGGTAGTCGGGTAAATTTACGCGCATCTTGACTAATTATCTCCTCAGTCCGATCAAATGTATAACATTCACGCCGGGACTAGAATATTTATGAGGAATAAATTTTTCATTGCTTGACCTCAAGGGATTGGTAAGATTTACATTCAAGATATCTAATAATTTTATATTTGTTATAGATAGATGTTGAGCAATACTATCGAGATTGAATTAATTTGGGGTCACAATTTGAAGATTTGGTCTTCAACATTAGATAGAATGCAGTATCAAAACATTTTTGGAAAGTCAGTTTAGATAATTAAAAAAAAAAACACTTACATGCATCACAATTTTTGATGTAGTCTGAGCTTCCAACGAATCTTTAGGGATGATCCAGTTGTTAAGCATGTATGCTTGTAAATAAGAGGTTTCAGGTTCGATACTCTCCACAACTCCTAGTAGCCAAACACACTTATTTCTAAGGGGGCATGTGCTTAAACTAACTCGAGGGATTACTCGGTATGAACCTGAATACCTTGTAACAAAAAACACTCTACTTTCCACGTATAATGGTTTGTAGTGGTAGTGACAGATAACATGTTGGTAGTGATAACAACAACGTCAAATTGTAGTGATGGGATAGCACAGTGATGGCATTGGTGGCTATAATGGTAACGACGGTAGCTACAACAGTGGATTATTCGTCAAAAATTATCAGTGTCTTCTCAAAGTAGAAGTTTTTTTCCCCTCTTCCTTCTAATTAAAAACTTATTTAAATGCTAAAACCACTTTTANGCCGAGGACATGTGTCCTCCTTTGAATGTTGGACGTGTCTTCGGTGCTAAGGACACTTGTCTTCATCAGACTGGTGGAGGTGTTCTCGGTGCTGAGGACGCGTGTCTTCATCAAAATATTGGAGGTGTTCTCTGTGCCGAGAACACGTGTCTTCATCAGGATGTTGGAGGTGTCCTTGGTGCCGAGGACACGTGTCAACTCCATTTTCTTTTTCAGAAATGTCTCATCATATATNTAATTTGTTCAAAAGTAACTTAAATGAGAGGTCCCAACACACCATCTTTCTCAATTTCAAGTAAAGTCCAAAGTCGTGCCAGTCACCACCTTTTGTTTGGGAAAGAAAGATGTCATGATCTTTTGTGTAACACTTAATTAAATATATCAAATTAGAGTTAATTAATATCTAATACTAATTTAATATTTCATGATCCGAACATAATACATCACAACTTCATCACTTAATGCCACCATTAAAATGGGGGTATATATTGATGATAGTGGTTAGGTAAGTATTCCTTGGACTCCAGAAAGACCATTTCTCCACTTGTGAAGATGAGAACAGAAGAGTGGTGAAGAGTGACGAGAGAGGCACAATATTAATTAACAAACATCAAGGAAACGTATGAACCATGGAATGTGTTTCACTAAAAAAAGTCAATAAAAGAAGTAAGAACTGATGGGATTGGTCGGTCATTCTCTATATTTATGAATCGGCTGGTCGAGGAAGTTGCAGGCATTAATGGCCTTGCCATTCTTTTCTCTCTCAAAGCTCCAACTACTCATATTTATTTCTCTGGACGAAGGTGAAAGAACTACCACCAGCTCACAAGACAGAGATAGATGTGCATGTGAAGTTAATGAATGAGACAATTGGGTGTGTATGGAGTGGGGGGGAGGGGCAAGGGTAATTGTGTGGGTGGTCCCTGATGATTGAGCCAGCAAAGTTTTGGGGCTGACCAG